AGGCAATATTGATCACATCAGGTCTACATTGCATTAGTTATGTCCGTATTACAGCCGTTGAGGCAATATTGATCATATCAGGTCTATATTGCGTTAGTTATGTCCGTAATAACGCCGCATGCTCAGGACTTCAGCTACGACCCCGTTTAACCTTTGAAGTTAGACCTAAAAAATATTGTAGTCTTTACTATTGCTTAACAGTATCTTGAAATCGTTTTCGTATACTCACTGAAGCTATCACTTGCACGAGTCCTATCACTTGGTCTTTTCCTTTTAGCATCACGATTTGAAAGTACAAATGTATGGGACCAGTAACTCAAGAGAAAAGGATCCAGTGCCGTATTAACAAGGGCATAGGAATATTTTCACAAGGGAATTTTGGAATAAACCACAATACGAACACTTATCTTCGGCACGAGAACGTGCAGAATGTGATTTGTTTCAAGGACCTATGTCTGACTCCATGTCAGAATTGTACGATGACCTGAAGAGTGAGGCTCAAAATCGGCTTGGGAATGAGAATTCGAGACGCTGGAGGCGAGCATTCCACTTAGGATTTATGATAACCTTTGCTCTCCTTGCTTTATGGGGTGCAGTTGATGTTTGCCTCCGTGTTTCTCGTCTCGGCTTTCCGCCAAAGATTCACGATCGAGATTTCCTCACAAACTATTGCGTCAGAACATGTGGTGGAACACAAGCTGAAGCCCTTTCTAGAGGCTGCCTCTATGATCATATTGAGAACCGTTTCACTCGCCCAGATTGTGTAAATCCGTTGTTGAATGACGAATTTTCAAAGCTTGGGCCAGGAAAGAATGGATCATGGGTTTATCAGGTCGATGTGCATGGCAATGGGACTCTTACATCTATGGAAACTGCGGAGATGCTCAGAAGCGTTCGACCAGGGTTAAGAGTGTGGCAAACTGGAAGACAACACACGCTTCACTGCCTCTTTGTGTGGCGGCGGAATGCATTGAGCCATTTCGATGGCACAATCATCACAATGGATCGAAAGGAACTTTTCGAGCATGACGCACATTGCGCCCGGATGATCACGAATAGATTGGCTGGGAATGATTTAGAGGAGTATGTCACGGTCACAACGTATGGACCTCTGGACCAGGAAGCCAAGGACAGAGCAGAAAAGTTCTTTGCGGAGCAGGCTGAGCGTCTACGGACAGGCAATGGGGTTGTAGCCCCAATTTTTGATGGACAGAATCGTAAATTGATGTAGTAGTAGTTGCCACCGAGAAGGGGAGAGTACTACACGACATGTAGGCTCGAGCTGTAGTGGCTAAGGATGTTAGGAGGATGTGCACTGCATACATCATATATATAGGGTTAGGTGTATCTTAGGATGTGTATACATTGTACTCCTCTAAAATATGTGCACAATATGATGTGTCATGGCAAACTAGTCGCAGAGTCCAGAAGTAGCTCTGTTGAAGTCTAGACTACTTGCTTGACTATTCTGAACAGTTTAAAGGCGAATAGATGCGGCTCAATCAGTATCCCGCCTGCAGAAACTAGAGTCCATCTAAAAATGCGTCAAACAATAGAACGTACCTTGGAGTATTGAATTAGCAGTATATAATGCGGATCTGAATCGGTCTCTACTGAGTATTTGCACACATTGGAATCAAACGGTTGCTTATTCTCAACATGCGATATCAATGCTTATACGTTTCGAGCGCGTTTTTCGGGCAATACTCTGGCCCAATCAACAATGATAATCGATCTTCAGCATAGTCGGATTAAGCAAGCTGATTGCCCACGAAGGATTAGCAGAACATCAAACGTTTGTAATCAGAGCTAATAGGTGATCAAAGTTGCACTTTTGCTCCAAGACAGCATGGAGGGAATGTGCTGGATTAATTATATCGTCAGACCGCTTCGTCGCCGCTGATAGACTTAATGATGTCGCTTATATTGCAATTGACTTAGGTTTGTGCTGCCAATTTTTTAGGTATGTCCGATCCTATGTTGAGTCTGTAGGCAAATCTCTGATTATTTAGTGTTGGCACGACAAAGGTGGGGTTGAGTCAAAACAACTGCAGTTGCACATAACACTATATGTAAAGACTTGACTGATTTACTGCCACTAGTCTATCGACATAGCTATATACTCAGCAGTGGCAGGCTTGCCTGCCACTGCTGAGATCTGTATGCCCGTAGCAAGACCGAGGTAAGACTTGTATCGTCAGCTCGATCCTAATATATGTCCTAACATCTAGTGATGATTAATGTAACACGGTAACTATGTATATAAAGATGGAAAAAGAGAGGAGCAATAGTACCCCGGCCTAATAGAAGTATCTGATACTTTCAAATAGTAGGTAGGGAGTTGCATGCGCAAAAACGGGACTACTTTGTCAATTTGCCTAGGGGTAGGTGCTGGAAACTTGATTGCTTCCACGAACGCGGCTACTCATTGTGCTAATTAGTAGATTATCTAAATAGGGTTTTCTAGCCTATTTGTAAGCATAGTGCTACAAGATATTTTATTAGTAGTTGAAAATAGTTATTAACTTAATGTTTACCTATTTTAGTGCTCTGTCCTTTGTGCATTTTGCACATGAACACTCCATATTGGCAACAGAAAGCCTCCTGTGATTGACCGTGATTTCCATGCCATCTTGTTTCTTCAAACGTCCGGAGCGACATTCTTACCCTCATTTGCGTCTCTAAATGCAGAGATACACTATGTCACGATACAAATTCGCGCTTCGAATATCCTGTAAGCCTAGAAGTACCATGTATAGTCACGTGGTTACCCACTGACTAAGAGTACTGTATTTAAACTTGCTCTTAGCATCATGTGCTACACAATACACAATACTTTCTACACCCACAACTGCTTACATATCCAGATATGGTTCCCATCGTAAGCTACTTCACGCAGTGTAAACATAACGTAATGATCCTCTAGTGAACATTTCTCAATTCTAGTCATCTATAACAACGATTATTGTGTTGTTGGACTTGGCAATTAATTAACTTGTCGGCGTCGTCGATCAACTCCTCAACAGCACAGCTCTGTCTATTGGCCGCTATGAGGAGCAACCAACCACTCGTAGAGTAGCAGCTACTGTGAGCATAATGAAGGGTCATTGCTTATTTAACTGAGTGCAGTGTCTAGGCTTGTAATTCCACTTGAACGTAGTAGCGAGTATGCGAGGAGCCCTGCACCCAAAACGAGTTTTCATTGGCTCTTTCTTGAAGGGCGTCCATCCGGCGATAACAGGGTTCAGCCACGCACCTGACCTCGATCCACTTGTTTGCGTTGCCCCACAAAGAGTAAATTTTGTTCGCGTCATCGCTCTGTCATCGAACCATACTCCTTAACATCGTTTCAAACTACGTCTGCACTATTTCCATTGTTTTCAAGATGGCAGATCCAATCAGCGCAGCATCAGCCATTATTACGCTAGTCACCTTCGGTATTAAGTCGAGCTCTACATTGTATCAGATGTTCAAAGAATTCAACAATCATCATAAACATGTGAGGGAGCTGAAAGCAGAACCGGATGCGCTGAGTTTAGTGTTAGCGTCTTTACATCAGGCTATCTTGGATAATGAGACAGACTTCACACTTCTAAAACTTCCTCTTTTCAGATGTGGAAGCGCTTGTGTGGAGTTCAACATGGTCGTCAAGGATGCGACTAAGCAATCTCATATTATTATTATTATTATTATT